ATTTTGAACGACTACGCGAGCGTGCGAGCGGGCGTAAACACATTTTACCCCGCCCCTTCACTAAACTGCCCCTTCATTTAGGCAAGGTCCTTCGCTCGAAATAAAAAATAATAATATGAGTCTTTGAAATAACACTGACTCGAGTCACGAACTAAATTACAAGAGAAGATCAGCTTTGTTGCCACGTATGGAGATGGCATAGAAAGCGGCGCACTAAACGCGCAGTATCTTTCGGTTAACTGGCATCTCTAAGAGTCACATCTACAATCTTCGTAAGCACGGTTTCGTTCACTCTGCGACAAGCACGATGGAGTTGCAGAGTACACATAATTCGATGAGAAAAAAATGATTGTTAAGGTTAACATCTTAATTCTTCATCAATGAATTTTCTAATAGGAGTAAAGTATCGCACGTGCTATGACGTTGAGGAGCCTCGCTATCAATATGACGGAAAAAATTGTGCTTCCTTCCAGTTGAAAGTATAGACAAAGACGTATGAGTCGAATTTCATTTTTACCTATCAGTACAATGGAGGTCTGACAGTACGAGGAAGCAACTCCTTTACTGGGGAAGAACTTGGTATACAACTGCAAGGCTGCCTTGACGATTTTAATGTGTCAGTTTAGGGTAATTGAACCCATATCTAACATGAAGGCAAAAACTATTGTAGCTTACACCGATGCGGAAACTACACACCACTCCTGGCTCAAATCCCACGTTCCCGTATACAAGCTCGTTATCCAGTACGGTGTGCTAAGGGTCGTCATGAGGATATCAGTCAGTGCAAGATAATTGAGAATGAAATGTCGGTGAGGGTTTGCATCTCTGAGTGTCAATTAACAACAAAAAGAACCAGCACATCACTAAATATGGAAGTAAGGCAGATCAGAATGGCGAAGATTACCTCCTTAAGAGGATCTTGGACATTTTTGGGGATATTCTCGTTTGTCACTCGAGTTGCAAGAAACATAAAAATAAAACCAAACAAACATTTAAAATTCAAAACCAAAATATATCAAAAGTCTAATGCACTAGTTCGAGGACGATAAAATTCTAACTACCCCTTTAAAGTTCTTCTTCCTAGAGCCTCGTTTTATCGCATTTCTCAAGCCATCATCAGTGATTTATTTCAAGTCAGAACTCTCTCATGATCATGTATTAGTTATTCGGTACTCTGACGAGAAGATTTAAAATTTAAAAAAAGCGAAAGGATCAAAATATCTTTGGTATTTGTATAATTAATCACATGATTTCGAGTGCAATTTGGAATAAATAAACACGAGAAAATTTTTTCAAAGACTAACAAAATTGCACGAGCCCGTAGGGCGAATGCAATCTGTGGTCTTTGAAAAAATTAACATTAATTTTTAACATGCTTATTTATTCCAAATTGCAAGAGAAAAATCATGTGATTACGTATTTATAATATACATGAAAAAAATATGAGATAGTTTATCATAATTATGCAGAAGCAAAGAGCGCGCATCAAGTGCAAAAATATTTTTTCAAACCTTTGAAGTGACATTGTGCGTTCGGTCAAAACAACCGCGTACGATCAAAAAAGTATTATACAATAATATTTTCATTTCTTTAAGGCGCAAAATAGTTCAAGGTCCGGCTAAACAGTTCAAGGTTTTAGTGCGAGGTTTAACCATGTTTTTTTTTTATTTCGGCGTAGAATCGCTCGAGCAATGTGTTAACCTGGGTCGGCTCGTAATTTTTGATTTCCTCGGCAATTCACACTACATTTTCTAAACCGACAACCAAAAAGCACTGCTTTTTACATTGTTTTCATTGTTAGAGCTCTTTTTCATCTGCTATGTTATTGTTGCGGTGGCAGAAGAAAACCTACTCAACATGCCGGCCATTATTTCGCTCGCAAATTCTCGGCGTATCCAAATGTCGCGACATCCAAGGTTCGCATTTGATTGGCTATCTGTGAGTTCCTTTGATTAATGACCAATCAGAATGTCTGGTTTTTTACTTCTTTGCACTGAATTAACCCTCTTCTGCATTGAATTACCTGAAAACTGCATTTATCTTAACCAATCATAACTGAGTAATTTTTTCATGTTTTCATATTATTAACATTAAAATTAAATTTGTATTGTTCTTCTGCGCAAGAAGCGGAAAGCCAGCAAAGGAGGAAACCTCGATGTTTAACATTCGTCTGAGCCACCCTCGTATCTATATTGTTCTCTCGAGATAGCGGTTACATCGATATCTCCTCAGTTTCCCCAGAATCAAATAAATTACTTTAAATAAAAGACTTACAGAATCATTTCCTATCTGTCGGTGAACTACTGAACTGTCTATTTAAAGTGAAAAAGCTTTTAAGAGTTTTTAACCGAAAATTTATTATTCTAAATGACCGGTGGTAATTAACCTCGTTGATTATGTCATTGAGCGATCAGGGTATGTTCCTTCGCTTTGGTTGATTGTTTTGATAACTCTGGTTTTGGTTTGACGACACTCCTCCGACTCCTTTGCCAATGGATACATTTTACCCTGTATCAAATAAGCAGTTGATAGCAGACGAAGAAAACCCTATCGTTTATTTAAGCTTAGTTAAATTAATTCATTGCTTTCTAAGCGGCACTCTGTTTCGAGAGTCTAAATGAGCTGATATGGCTTTTACGGCTAACGGTTGAAATTTTAGTCATTTTAGGGCAAAACTAATATCATTCCACTTTAATTATGACTCCAATATCCAAAATGTTCTGCGTCATTTCCCTCCCATCATGTCTTTTGTTACATGTACGTCAAAGCATTTTCACTGCAAACACACAACTAATGCACCGACGAAGGGGCATGGTTCCGCAAGTTTTTGATATAAAGTGATTTATTTGATCGGGAAAACAAAGGAGTTCTAATCACGATTAAAGAGGAACATAGACTTTACATAGGTGGCTCTAACAAACTTCAAAAGCTGAGAATGACGTTATTTCCCTCTGCAGTTTTCAGATGTTTGTACAGTAAAGGGTAAAGATTGTCCTTTGCTGAGAAAACGAAAGCTGTTCTCCCTTTTTACTTTTCGTTTTTTTTTTCAGCTTCTACCTTGACTACTCATACAAAAGAATAAATAACAAAGGATTATGAGGAAAATTAATTTAAAGATAATTAGTGATAATGGCTCTCTTGAATTCAATAAACCGTATTTAAGTCGGCTGCAATCATTCCCTTTCGCTGAAAGAGCTTGATGGTTTCAGTATCCTTGAAAATAAAGCCAGCGGCAGGTAAAAAGATCTTAGCCAGATTTTTAGACTGTGTTTTCGGAGGTTCTAGGAATTGAAAATCGTGAGTATTATCTGAGCTTTCTCTGAAGCAATATTTTTGCATTGTGTTTATTGAAGATACCTGAAGGAAGACTGTGGAGAAAATAATTTACATTAATCGTGAAATTATAAAGGTCCATCGAGGAAAGTGAAGCCGATGCACTGCGAGCCCTGCGTAATATTTGCTTAGTTTCAACAAGAAACACGAGAAAAAGATGATTGTAGAGTTTAATTTGCCCAAAGCCTAAGGTTGTACATTGAAAGTTCTCTGAAGGATCCACGTAATAGCCTTTCTTCCCGAAATTGAGATTGTTCTTGATTTTTTTGTTCAGTTTTAATGAAGCTTGGATTACAGACGAGAATGTCTCATACGATGTCCCAAGATCCCCTTAATCGCTTGCGAGCAGAAATTGTTTTGGAAGTAACTTTCGCCATTCTGGTTTGCCTTGCTTCCGTAATTGGTAATGTGCTGGTTGTTTATGTCGTAAATAAATACTCTGAGATGCAAACCATCACCAACATTCTTATTCACAATCTTGCACTGACTGATATTATCATGGCGACCCTTAACATGCCGTTCTGGATAACGAGCTTATACTCGGGAAAGTGGATTCTGAGCCAGGAATGTTGTGAAGTTTCTGCAACAGTACAACATACTATGGGTTTGGCCACCTCGCTCATCATGAGCTTAATTGCCCTGAACAGATACATGAAAGTCGTCAAGCGAACCATTTATATCAAGTTCTTCCCAAGTAAAAGAGCAGCTTGGTTGTACTGTGGTCTCGTTTGGCTGGTTTCTGTGCTATTCGCCACACCTCCATTGTATGGATGGGGAAAAATGAACTTTGACTCAGACTTTTTACTTTGCACATTCAACTGGAAGGATGGACACTTTTCTTTTGTCATATTGCTTGGAGGGTTCTTCGACGTGACAATGGTTGGTATATTTTACTCCTATTGGAAAATTTACCAAACAGTGAAAGAAAGCACAGACAATGTCAATGCCAATGTTCTTCAAAATGGCGTCGGCGCAACGAGATTCCACCGTACTGACATCGATGTTTTAAAGAGTTGTTTTACAGTAGTTTGTTTCTTTTTAATTACATGGTTTCCTATAGCCGTATGCACTTTTACAATAACTATTGGTGGCCGCTTACCACATGAGGTGCGTAAGGTATCTGTGTATTTGTTTTTCGCCAGTAGTCTTGTAAACCCAATCATCTATGGGATAATGAATCCGCAGTTTAAAGGGGCCTTCAAAAAGGCATTTAGTTGTGGTCGTTATGGCAGCGATAATACAGATCAAAGTCATGCAAGAGTTGCAGCAGTAATAATACATCCGAGGAACAATGAAACTTGATAACGTTTGTCCTGAATATCTATCATTTAATGATAGATCGTGATGGCACGTTAAAAGGTTTTGCGTGTCATCATGGAAGTTTCGGGTTATATTAGTGTTCGTTGGAAAATTAAGTCATTCTAGGTCGGTTTGTCCTGTTTGAACATTTGGTTTTTTGTATGTAATGTAATTTTCATTTTCCATCTCCCTATAAAATACCATTACAATCATGATTTTTTCTTTGTGATTAATAGTGTAACCAGGTTAGTCCACTCTTTCCTCGGGGTATATAAAGGAACAAAAAAAAGTGCTAAAGAGTATTCTTTTTTTTTTCTTTCTCGGTGATCACTGTTTTATTTGCAATTAGAGCGCATAATGTCTGTTAAATTTTCCTGTTTAGAGATGAAGAAAGCTTGTCTATTGTTGCTAAGGGCCCCAGAGCACAGTACTCCACCAGTAAACACGAGAAGACCTTGCAATAAATATGACGAAAAATATTGTCCTTCCCTCCCAGTTGAAAGTATAAACAAAGGCATCTGAATAGAATTTATACAAGGCTGTTATACAAGGCTGTATTGACGATTTTAATTAATCTTTTTTTGGGCAATTAAGCCTATATTGAACATGAAAGCAAAAAACCAATATATCACTGCACTGATGTGGAAATTTCATACCATTCCTGGCTCAATTTCCACGTTCAAGAGTATAAACTCGGAGTATCTATTGACAATGTAAAGAACCAGCACATAAACAAGTATGAAAGCGAGGCAGATCAGAATGGCGAAGGTTGTCTCCAAAGAAATTTCCGCTCTCGAGCGACTTAGAGGATCTTGGAAATTTTTTGAGACATTCTCGTCTGTCATTTGAGTTGCAGTAAGCATAAAGATAAAAGCAAACAAAAATTTGAAATTCAAAAGCAAAATCTCTCAGAAGTCTGATGCACTGGTATGAGGATGATAAAATTCTAACTACCCCTTTAAACTTCTTCCCATAGACCCATTCAATCGTATTTCTTGTTTTAAAGCTTTCCCGGGATCCTTGGGTTGTAAGGTACAAACGTCGACCTCTAAGTCGGATGAATAAAACTCGATAAGGTTTATATTCTTGGAACTGAGCTATTATCTATTACCTATTATTAAATGTGACGAGCAACTTCCTCGGGAGGGTCCCATTGATGAGTCATCAACTTCCTGTTTATTCAATGACGTCAATGCGTGGGTAGTTCGTCAATTTCTAAGAAATGAAACATCCTGGATTTCTCGGAATTCTGTGTCTTTATTACAGTACAATTTCACCAAATAATTACCATAATATGGCAAGTAGAATAGTGGTTAGCGAGTTTGAGCACGATTTGTGAAATTGGGCTCGAACCGCCAACTACTACATCACTAACGAAAATGTCATTTCGACATTGAATCTTAAATGAAATGCGTTAGAACGGCTTTTACGCGTGCTGTAAAATACAAAGTGGACAAATTCGCGAGCAATTAGAAAAGTATAATAAAGTTATTAATTGACGATCATTTTTTTCATTTTCTCATGAATACAGTTGGACTTATACGGTACTTAGCAAGAGGTACAGTGTTTTGCAATTCACAGAATATTCATTCATGCGAAGTCACAAACATTTGCTCATCGAGTCCAAAGAAACAGGTGTCCGCGTGGTAAATAAAACACCCTCTTTAGTACAATAACAATTATGCACGCTCTGTTTTCATTGTCGCCAATAAACTTATTTCTTTCCGATTGTAATCCGGATCGCTAAAGTAAAATAAAATGAAGCTGGCTTAGTGTTTATTTTTCTTTCAGTTGAAAGTCAAAAGCTTCAATCTGATTGGCGCCATTGACATCTCCTCTGTTCACGTTGACATAGAAAAACCATCGATGGGTGTATACGGATTTTTAACTAAACTTCGAATTCTCAGTAAAACTGCGGCAAGGTTCAACATCAGACTCAACATCTTAATGGGAATAAGGTGGCACGTTCTCTGAGCCTCTAAAACTCGAAGTAATTCTCCGGAAATGTAAGGCGATCAAGCAATTTTACAAACAGTTTTTAAAAGGAAGTACACAACACTTCTTGCTCTAATCAAGATTTTCGTAAGTACCAGTTTATAGGCAATTCGCCTCGTCACTGGTACATGTTCTTGTGCATGGCAAATGGGGTTTTTTTCTATTTCTGCGATTGTCGGAAAAACGGTAATTTCGATTTACTCGTAATCCAAAGCTCTTTTTTACAGCTTAGCTCAGTCTGATATTGGGAGTTGGTATGGCCGCTCAACCGTTACAAGCTACCACAACTTGTAAAAACCGTTTCCATTAGTAACAGTACGGAAAATTGCAAAATGCAATTACAATTTTTCTTTCACGAACATTCTTTCAGGATTTCCAGAAGCATTAATTTTGTGCCCTTAGGCAACTGACGTTTTGGTAAAAATTGCAGTCGAAAAGAGAAAGAAAATCCATCATGTCGACCGATTCAGCCCAGACCGTGATCACTGTGGTGTTTTCTGTGCTGATAATAACAGATATCGTGGGGAACACTCGGGTTTGTGTCGTTATAATTAAAAACCAAGGCATGAGGTGAGTCATTATGAAGAAGTTTGAGCTTCTTCTCACTTCTTTCGGACTTACAGCAATATTCATTGACATGCGTTTCTCTGCGATCAATCGAACTTCCCGAAGATCAAGCTGTGTTTCATTACCTTTGGTAGATCCAGTTACATGTGTTTTACAACATCGAAGCAGCGACCGAGAAAGGAAAAAACACTTCAAAAAAACTTCTGTCTGTGTACTATTGATAACCCACAAATATATTTACTTTCGAGTTAACCATAAAAGCCGTCTTCTCGGCTTTTTTGTTTCATTTCTTTATTGCTATCAAGTCTCGAAGTAAGGACTCACTGATAGAGAAAGCGGTGATATCCAATATACGTTTATCTTGAGTGTAAATCACCCCTGAAGGATTGAATATATATATCAGTATTGTAAAAGAGGCATTAGTTCTATGCACTGTTAAAACCGATTGTAAAACAGTTTTTATATCTGTGTGAAAAGATGGAAGATATGTTACGTTCCGTTGTTTTATTTTGGGATTTGAAAATATAATTTGTGACGTGAAATTAAGATACAGAGGGCAACTTGAAACTTTGAAGCAAAACAAAGAAGTCATTTTTATTTCTAGGACACCAATAAACTTTTTGCTGGTCAATTTGGCTTTTGCTGATATCATGGTAGCGCTGTTTATAGCGCCACAGTTCGTTCTGATCCACACTTTCCACCATCCTAACGGAGGAAACTTGATGTAGACAGGAGCAGCTGCATCTGCGTTTAGTCTGGTCGCTATTGCATTTGAACGTTACTTCGCTGTTATGCACCCTGACGATAACACATAGAAACTGACACAAGGAAAGCTTAGGGTGAGTTTGCTGTTTTCTGTTTAAGAAAACCGTTAATTAAGACCGATTCATTTCCTACACCGAGATAAATCCTTCAGCTTTCAGAATACTGTCTTGAAAAGCAGGCACACCGCAAAAAAAGCATTTTTTTAAATGAGTTAGATTAATTCAAAATGAGTTAGATTAACTCAAAATTTGAGTTAACTCAGGAATTAACTCAATATATTGAGTTAAGTTACTCAAATATTTCTACTAAAATTTGTCAAGTAATATAACTCACAATATGTGAGTTTATTTACTAGGTATTGAGTAAATTAACTAAAAGTTGAGTCTGTCATAAGGAATACAGGGATGAGGGATGATTTTGAGATGGGCTTTACCAGCAAAGGATGCTTTCTGCTGGGATATTTTTGCTATATTTGCTACACATTATGTAACAGTATAAAGTAACACGTGCACTATGACAAGACATAGTACACAAGCAATTGACACAAATTCGAACAATATTAAACAACCTTTACAAATCGATCCATCCCTAAAATGGCCAAAGTACATGAATAAAACACCCATAAATCATTGAAATACCCAATAACTCTTTGATAATTCAGAGAATCTAACTCAAATGTTGAGTTAAATTACTCAATCGCATTATGATATCCAAGTTGGTTTCTGAGTAATTCTACTCAGAAAAAATGGAGCATGAATAGCACCACAACATAGTTGAAACAAAAGTAATTATTTTTTTTAATAATTTTTCTTTATATTTTTGCAGCCATTTTAAGAAACTTTACTTTCTATTCTGCAATATACTATTTATCATGATTTTTTCTGTATTATTTACATGCATCAATATAGCAAAATGTAACCAAAAATATCATTACTGCATAAGATCCAATCTGTATTTCAATGTCACGAAGACTTGGTTGGCATAGCAACCAAATCCCTTAACGAGACCAAGGGGGTAATAATCTAGAAGCTCAGATTGCTTAATATATCTTATTTCGTTCAGTTGCTGAACTTTAAAAGCATTTAAATGACAGACAAATTCAGTAACATTTATTTTAAGGTACTGAAACCAAACTATGTGTCTCTCAACAACCAAAACCTTTTGGATCTTTCCCAAAATTGGAAAGCCATGGTGGTAGTCAATTACAATAACATCGCCCTTTACGTATTTGGTTCCATAAACTTTAACCCAGGATGTGCGTGTCAGTGAACTGTCGCCTTTAGTTTGGGGGTCTGCCTCTTGCAGCTCATCTTCTCTCCTGCTTCTTGAACAGTTGTTACCCTTCCAACAGCTAAAAAGTTATATAAAAAATATATATATATTAAAGGAAACTCTCATGATTTAGCCAATGACATTGAACATGGGGTTAAATTAATTTAATGCTTAGGTCATTAATTACTGGGGAGGGCTGGTAAGTTTAGGGGCTTTGATTTGGGAAGGGCCAAAAATTTTGGACCAGCATTTAGGGGAGAGGGACAAGGCTTTGATTTGGGGAGGACAAGATTTCTTGGGATGAAGGTTTAGAAATTTTACTGGCCCTCCCCAGTAATTAATGATGGCTCCCTTACCAGGTCCAATTTCCAAAGACACTCTCAAATAGTTGCCTTGTGAACTTTGCATTCGATAAGTCTGAAGGGCTTGATGCCTCATAGCCAAGGAATAGGTGATATTTTTGAAATTGTTGATGTTGTCTACCAGCTTTTTAAAGTAGTTATGTTTGGCCTCGAACCTCATGGCCCAGTTTCTTACTAGGGGACCATTTCTGTAAATGGAAGATTACTAGATATTATTAAAAACTCATTAATAATTCATAAGCCTTTGGGCCAACTGGATACACCATACATATTACATGCATGGACCTTTATACTCGATAATGTCCCCTTTAAGTCCATCTTTTAGATGAACCTTTATATAAAAAAATTACCTTCATTAGTATTCTTTATATAAAGAACACTAAGACAGATGACTTTATCTGAGAGGAAGTATATGTCCATGTTTAGATGAAGACTTAGAGCCTCATCAAGGTCTCATCACACCCCTAAAATTCCAGATTGCCATGTATAGAATATTGAGCATGTGGGAGTTTCTTTTAGAGCTACTCGCACATGCCTGTGACGTCAAATATCTATTGAAGTATGAAAGTCCATGTATGGTGGCTCCAGTGGAACCAAAATCTTATAATTATGAGGTCTAAAAACACTCGGCTACACCTCATGCTTCTAAACCTGATAAGACATTATTGCTCATTCATTAAACATCACATAAAACTATAAGTAATACTGCATTATATACCCATGTATAAGCTGCACTGCAAGTTTCAGAAAACTTAAATAATCAGCATGATGAAGTCTGAGTGGGCTAATAATACATATATTGAAAGGGTATGTAAAGTTATGAAAGGTGGATAAAGTGGTAATACCCTTCCCCTAACCCCCAGTAGTACAAAATGTACAATGCTTACAATTTCAATATAAAAAGACATACTTGATAATTTGATTTGGGTAATGCACCATGTAATGCTGTTTTGGGATTGGAAGCCGGTCATTGAGGTTGACATAGTCCTCTAGGTACTCCTCTATGAGAACTCCAAGATATGCAGCCAGCTGTGGTGTTGCTTTAGGAGCAAAAACAATTTCTTCAATTTTCAGTAGTCGCAAAAAGTTTTCCCAGTGCTCATCATTTTGTGGAATCAAGTCTCCTATAAGTATAGGAAACATTCTTGCCAGGCACCACATCCGAGCTGCTGGTGAAAGAAAGAAAAAGAATATGAAATTATCATGTACTTTTAGTATACAACAAAGCCTTTTATATATATTTTTTGTATATTTCTTTTTCTTTTTAAAATATAACATAATATATAATAGTAATATGTAACTCAACCATTGCAAAACATCATTCTCCTAACCTGACTGTGAAATCCTCATTGAATTGTTTGCCAATGACTGCGGCTTTATAGGACTTGGTTTATTGCTAGCATCAGATTGAGGATACCACAATCTTTCTAATCTGTCATTCACAATTTCAAGTGTGAAATAATTTTCCTCTTGAATGTACTTCTGTAACAGAATCTTGACTTCTAGGGGCAGCACTCCCTCAAGTTGGTCATGCATGACATCAAGAACAAGTCCATCAGTAATGTGGAAGTAACGGGACTGGTTGAGAACACTTCTTGTTTTTACCCCATAAGTTGCTTCTAGATTTGCATCATTTTCTACAAGCCGGCAATGTCTGTCATGGATTGCTCTTGTTCTAATTTGAAAATCTGCTTCTGTAAACTAATATCAATGTGACATTCACAATATGAGTTGTATAATAGTATATTCATCTCAAGTCCATGAACTTTGAAGTGTAGACTCATATTAACACTATTGACACAGGGTCTGATCAAAAGTCTAAACTTATTTGTAACAAAATTTAGAATGCCGGTAAATAATCTTTTACACTTGACACATTGAATAATGACCAAAAATGCATGCACACTACTACTACTACCTTTGTGTTAGTGTCTTCTCTAGTTGCCATACAAATTCTACAAATCCTTAGACCAGAAAAGCTCTCCTGAAAACCACCAAGAGAATGTGCCCCAAGATTGTCACTTGAATAAGGTCCAATGGAACCACTGAATGTTCTTTCTTGTTCATCTATCCAAAATGTTACACCTCTATCCTAGGAAGAAAACAAATACATATTTTTTAATTAAATTATAAATTAATATTAATGACAATGTGCACTTAATTATTTTTATATGGTTGAACTTACATTTAGGTGACAGTTAAGTGTATGCTACAATATACTTACTGCCTCTAGTTGATGCAGGTCTTGCATGAATGGCTGCAGTATCCTATTCATTCCATATTTTTTTTATGAGCGGTACTCGGCACAAAGCAATTAGCTGAATTGAGTTGATAACAGAACGGTATTCTGGACTAAGATTTCCCAGATTGAAGTAAAAGGCTCCTGATGTTCATAAAAAAATCAATTTCAATGGCAATAGTCATAACATGTTGTGCCAAACCAAATGCATACCTCAAACAATGTTTTCCTTTGATATTTTTCAATTCTGCTTTAATTCTGCTGACTGTTTTTTACCACCTATTTATGTTTAAGGTATTTGGCTCAACATACTAGGTATGACGTATGAATCAAGGCTGAACCTTCTTTAGTTTGGGTCAACACAAATGTGCTATTGTGCAGCACAACAGAAGCACGTCGTATGAACCAGACCTTACATTTGCACTTATTTTACACTGCACATTTGAGGGAACTTACTCTCATTGCATGTACGCATTCAATATTTTGATATTGAACAGGATTGAAATTTAGGATGGTGGATGTTGCATGTCAAACCTCATAAACATTCATAAGTGAATAGGATATCCCCAAAAGATCAGTTTTAGAGATTTCTCAAAATTTCCCTGCCAGATATTGTTTAAACATGACAAACATGCAATTAATATCTTGTGGATAGTTTGGTTGTAGTTTGTTTTTTCATCATCTGCAAACACACCATCAACAGCACACACACACACACACACACAAAAACAGGAGATTGTCAGTCAATAAATAATAATGTTCATGATAATTATTAATGCTAACAGCAACCTAACAAAACACGTAATAGTTTACATGCCTGTAAATACATGATTGAAAAGCATACCTATTTTATGTTTTTTTGTCTTTGATCCAAGCGGGTTTGTTACTTGAAAATCATCATAGTAACAATGAAGAAGTAGTGCATTACCAGGTTGTCCAAAAAGAGCATGCATTTTGTACTGTTCACTATCACAATAGTCTCTTAGAATTCCATCATTTGAGGAATGACCATTCATAACCTACAAAAAGTACCCAAATTATTGAAATGTGCCACAAGTAATTTGTTATTAGAGGGACTGTCATGTAAAATAATGGTATTGATTCAATATTGTCAACTTCAAAATGATATCTAAATTGTCACAAAAACTAAGAGTTTTCCAAATCACCACACCCAAGTTCCTCCATAAAACATGTAACCCATACACTGAAGTGTTTCAATATAACTATTAGTGCAGTTTTCGTATGACTGTGAAACGTTCACGGCATGAACAATGTCATGGGAAGGAGTCAGCCAATTAAAAATCTAGAAAACATCACGGTCACTGCAAGACACGCACTCCTCGTCCAATCAAATGCAAGAAACATGGCACGAAACACTGCACGGACACTGTCACTACGCGGACACGGCACTGCTTAGCCAATCACATCGCGCAAAAAAGAAAATCCAGCCAATTAAAATCCTACGTTACGACACGACACGTTCACGGCACTGAACTTTTCACAGTCATACGAAAGCTGCTCTATACAGGGACTGCACAGCATCCTAACAAGTGTGTGTGTGTGTGTGTGGGGGGGGGGGCGCTAACATCAGAAAATGCAAACCTAACCCTACCCATCTCTGCAGTTCCTGTTATATTCCCTGTTCTACATACATCAAATAGGATGCTTACCTCACATAAAACATCTGCCTGATTGAGCAAAGATTGTAGGGTTTTCAGTATCGAGATGTAATGAAATGTTTCCTTGACCAGGCAGAGTTTTTGCTTGCCTTGCAGATAGCGATATTCAGCATATTGATTGAGGATGACTTCCTGTGGCTCCTATATATATTAAAACTCATATCAGCATAATAATCAATATATTTATATTATTTTGGTAATGCATGTGTTTATAAGAAGGCTAATTAAGATGACTTTAAAGCAAGTTAACACAAGTGATAAAATACATTAATTTGTCCCATATCTTCTAATCACATCTATTAAAGCCTGGACATAAGCTAAGGACTTACCACAAAGTTAAAATTCTCAACAAAGTACTTCATCTGTTGGTATTCATTCTGCAAACGTTGTTTTGCTTGGGAGTAGATACTTGGCTCATCAAGTACTCCAGATAGGCCCTCAACATCAGCAATTTCTATTCCACTGCTTTGAAGGCATGCCACCACTTTGTTTTTCATTTCCACTAAGCTACTGTCCACTAGGTCTCCTGTATTGTCAAGAATAGCATTGATTGTCTGTTGGCTTAGTTGATTTTCTTCTTTGGTTTTTAAAATAAACAGTGCCAAGAATCTTGTCATATCGTCGACGTAGTTTGTGTCTTCATTTGAATCGTTGTCTTCTCCATCTTCTTCATCAGAGTTTTCATCTTCTACGTCTTCATCGCCTTGCTCACTTACGTTCGCAAAATTTAACAGTGCATTCTTCTTCTCTTCTCTCTGGATATGGGATTTGAACGAATTGAATTTTCGAAATGACTGGCCGCATTGTCTGCATGTGATGCTAAAGTTTGGTTCATGACTGTGAATAAATTTGATATGATGTAATAACTTTTTGAAGCTTCTACCAAGAAAACTAGTACAGTATGGACAACTATGCATTTGGATATACGGAAAACCTTCGATAAACAACGACGCGCTGATGAAGGAGAACACAGAAAGACCCTAATTCAATGGCTCTTAAACGAATGTCTGGGTGCTGACCAGTAGAAACGCAGGCTCTGGGAACGAGATTGGAATGGTAGTAGGACAAAGTTTGAGACAAATCAACTCTTTTCTTATAAAAATATTTATAATATATTTCATTACAACGTAGATATTATTTTAGCCGTCTTTATTTAGGATATATTGTATGAATGAATATTTTCCAATTTGAGTTTCCTGTTGTTTTGGCGCTAAAATTTAACCTCGATGTGATGAACATGACCATGTGATAGTGGCTACCAATCAAAAAAAAGGGCGCGAATGTACGAGATAAAACTCTTGTTCTCCATGAATGCTTTCTCTCACGTAGTCCAACTCTTTGCATTGCAATAGTCAAGTGAGCTCTTTAGCGTTTCAAAAAAGATGGCAAGTTTCCCGAAGTCTGTGGACGAGGTTAAGCAGTGGATGATACAAAATGGGTTTTCGTCCCACGCTTCTACCTTTGAAGGTAAGCTATAACTAGAGAATTTGTACAATATTAGGTTAACCTGAATTTCAAGTTTATTCGTACAAAGCTCATTTGTTGTCCTTCAGTACATGCTTAGATCTGAATTTTAGGTAGAGATATAATACAACGATAAATCATGTATTATTTTAGTTTATTTTTGTGAGGATTTCTTTATTTTCCAAGGTTATTTTCCTTGAACTTCGCGCTATCTGTACCATGTACGACCATGTACACACTCTGGTAGGATCTAGAGAGCATTACCCGTTGTATTGCAAATCGGTGCCATTTTGAATAAAAAAAAACTAATTCATAAGGAATCCAGATGAACAGTAAAACCAAAAATCAAACTCGGGTTTTGGTGATTAAATATTACGAGGAGATTTGGTTGATCTCTTTCCAATGGAAAGATTCTTGGTTTTGTTCCAATGCAAAGATTCTTGGTTTTGGCGGGAACTTCGGTACCATTCATGCTATGCCGTGCTAAGCACACATAGATAGGTCTTGCCTAATACCTAAGTACAAAACTATCAAGCTTTACCCCACATTCTTTCATATTGATTCCAATTGCTCTCTTTTCTTTCATAAGAGAACGAAATCGATGGCGAAGCAATGCAATGCTTAACGGAGAATGCGTTAGTGCAACTGATACCTGTGGTCGGCCCTAGAATGAAGTTTATCAAGCAACTTGAATCTTTGAAAAAAACCTCCAGGCCCGAGAGTATTGATGTAGTTGAAGAGGGTACCCCAATTGCCAATGAAGAAATGGAAGTACAAGACAGAATTCCAGCTGATACAGAAGTAAAAGCAAGGTTTGAATCTTAAGTTATGGTATAATATTGTGCTACATTATAATACTGGATCATTATTTCTATGACTTGCTTCAACAACCTTGATAACTTTGTTTTTATAACTATTTTTGCAAAACAATAGTTTAAAAAAATAAAAGGTGCGGTCGGTTTATAGCCTTAGATCTTACAATCAGTGCTGAGCCTCTGCTTTTGTGTAAGGTAGTTTAACTGCCTTTTACCATTACTTTACTCAATTGAGTATACATTCGCTTGTAAGTAGAGACTGTTTTGTAAGATACATAAGGACAGTATAAATTTGTTTTGTGCCAACATGGTTGCTGTGTAAGGTGTTTTGTAAGCACCTTTTACCAGTATCTCTTTTGAGTGCTATATTTAATAGCGCTCATCAAAGAGGACAGAAATGAATTTATACTTATTAAAATTTCAGAAAAAGGAAAAGAACTCATTCCTTGACGGCTAAGAGAAGACAAAGGCTTGCTCGCAACAAAAGGAAAAGGGAAGAAAGACAAAAGTCAAAAACGGGACTTGAATTGCTGATGAGTGATCTAAAACAGAAAAATCAGAATCTGCATGAAGCAATAGGAGTAGAAAAGAAAATGAAAGAAAAGTACTTCGAGATGTGGAGAGCTTCAGAAAGGAAAAAGAGAAACTAAAAACAACTAAATGTGTATTCCAGGGATGTGCAAGGAATAATATGAAAAATAATACTTCTAGGGAGCTTTTGCAAATCCAACCAACAATGCTAGAAGATCTTGGACCAGATGATAACCTAAGTAGTGGCAGATTTGGAACTGTGTGCTTAAAAAAATTTAGATCCACACCAGTTGCAGTCAAGTATTTAGAGTCATCTAGTGTTAAGGAAGTTCAAAGGAAGCTTCATTTTTGGACAAATGTTGTCACATAAATCTCCCCATTATATTTGGGGTAAACACAATGCAGAAGCCTTATTTCATAGTCGCAGAATTTTATGGTAATGGATCGTTTAAGGCCTTGACACTAAGAGAACTTTTACATAAGGATGAAGAACATATTAAATCTTATGTAAATGGTCCAGAGTATTGGCTTCATTTAAGTTTCCAGATTACTGATAGTATTTGCTATTTACATACTATGGGAGTGCTCCACAATGATATAAAACTGACAACATTGTTGTTTCTGTATCACCTGTAAATGTTATCACACCTATCTTAATAGATTTTAGTAAGGCCACACTGATAAGTGAAGGGAAGATTAAAGTTCTTACTGCTGCGGAGAAGGATCGCTACCGCAAAGAGTACATGCAAATTGCCCCTGAACTCATTGAGGGAACTCATCCCCAATCTGTTAAGAGTGACATATATTCTCTGGGAATTGTTTTTGCCAGTATATATAAATTTACTAAATACAAACCCATAAAAGAATTAGCAAAAAAAAGTTTAATGCCCTTTCAAACCAGATGTACATCATCAGAGATTTTAGCAATTCTAATGGATCTTATGAAAGTCTGATTTACTTTTTAGATGACTTCAATCTGATTTGTTTGAATTTGTTTCCATCTTACTTGGAGTAATGTTTTATGCCATTATACATATCAGCCATTGATAAGGTGTTCAGGTGTCATTGAAATGATATAATTGTTTTGCTTCAAGATGTCATGTTTGTTAAATAAAAAGTCTATTTTGATCCATTCCTTTCTGTCTTTAGGGACATCCATTATCTACAGCTATATTTTACTATTCATACAGAAAGAGGCTGGAATTTGATAACAAAGTTAGCAGTCCCTGCCCTGATGACAATATAGTGCTAAATGCAAAAATGCTTTGGCCAAGAGTGTTAACACTTCCAACCAGTTTCCGACTGGATGTTACTAGAACACTGGCAAGCAAGGAGAAGCAGAACATCAATAAGAAGTTTAGAAGAGAGTTCATAGGCTCAATATACGATCATTTTGCCCGCTACACTTTGTAAGTATACTTGTTTGATATATGTTTACCACTTTTTGATTGATGAAAAGCCATCAGGAATACATTTTATTGTGGTGTAGGGAAATGCTAAAATTGGCTTATTGTATTTTCATCAATGAGATCTTATGTTGAAGAAGAAGGTACTGGTATTAGGTTACTAATTATTGTACATTTCATTTTATTTTTTGGTTTGTGAATTGTAGGTATCCCACCAAACATCAACTCACATCTATTTGTGAACTAATAGTCCAGAAATATCCCTTCCTGAAAGATACCTCAATTGGTACTGGATATGTAAGTACCGAATAAGTACTCTAAGGTTTTGAAACAAATGATATGTTGATATCTGATGCTGTTATATGAAAACATGAAAAAGTTTGCTACATATCCCTCAAAAAAGTTTTCATATCGAGGCCTTAAAGGTTGATCATGTTCACTAGTAAAAAATGCAAACCATATGTGACCTTGCATTTTAGCTTATTACATGTTTTTTCATGACCTATCCAGAGTTTTCCAAATTGCTGACTGATTCAATGATCTAATAAAAAGGTAATTTGAACATTGACTCCCACAGTCAGAGAAAAGTCAGAGAATTTGGCATTTTTTTCAAGGTCGGGGAATTTTGATTTTGGTCAGGGAAATTTGCAATTCATCAAAATAGGGAATTTTTCTTTCATCTTTGCAACATCTTCTTGGTGATTATGTTTCCAAATGAAATTTCCCAAATATTCCTGGTGTCCTTCATAACAATGACTAACTAGAAGTGTGCCATTGGGTGATGGAAAAATTGGTTTTGGTTTTGGTCTTGGTCAGGGAATTTAACTTTTTCATAAGAGTGGGAACCCTGTTGAATTATGGCATGAAAATAATACTACAGCTACTAGAATGCTGGCACATAGTTTTTTTTATTTTGATTTATTACTCCTTGAGTAGCTTTTGCGAATACTAGGAGATCAAAAAAGGAGATACAAAAGAGATTCAAAATCTGAAAAAGAAAAAATATATGTGCAGAGGATTCTAGTACTGAAATGTCATATAAATGCAAATCATCTATTACATCAGAGATAATTGATTTCAATACTATTTCCAGGATTCCTGGTACGCTAGTCTATACGAAAAGTTCCGTAATGAGAGAAAGTCTATTAAAGATGACCCGGAAGTAATCCTCAGGAAAAGAAAGCCCAAAGAGAGTTCCAAAGAGTGTGTGAAAGCTAAGCTTCGCAGAGGAGCCATAAACTGGGAGCCACCCTTTCCAGAGGGTGAGGATGAGGTGTCTCTACAACGACATAAAGATTTTATGAAGAGTGAATTTGAAAAAAGGTCTCCAGATTGGGCAAAGATAAGCAAACGAATGGCACTGACTTTCCCCAGCAGACGGAGACTAATGAATGACAATATGAGCATCAAGGAAATAAAAGAACACTACCCTACTCTATTTAAGTTTGAACAGGTATGTTAAGCTATATATTGTTGTCCTTGTGAACTATGAGTATGAGCAATCTAATTGTGTTTTCTCTGTGTCTTTCAACAAGAAAGTTGTGTAGAAGAAGGATGAGTTTAATAAAACTACCCCCACATTAGGGTGATTGGCAGTCTGGTTGTTCTGTCAGGTCAGCACAATTTGCTGCCTTGAGTAACTGGGCAATTCTGGGTGTGTTGGGTGATATGCAGACATCCTATGCTTGCAAGATGTGAATG